ACACCTTACACTAAAATTAACTTCAGATATATTAAAGACTTAAACATAAGACCTAACACCATAAAAACCCTAGAAGAAAATCTAGGCAAAACCATTCAGGACACAGGCGTAGGCAAGGGCTTCATGACCAAAACACCAAAAGCATTGGAAACAGAAGCCAAAATAGACAAATGGGACCTAATCAAACTCCACAGCTTCTGCACGGCGAAAGAAACAGTCATTAGAGTGAATCGGCAACCAACAGAAATTTGCAGTTTACCCAGCTGACAAAGGGCTGATATCCAGAATTTACAAAGAACTGAAACAGATTCACAAGAAAAAAAACAAACAAGCCCATTCAAAAGTGGGCAAAGGATATGAACAGATACTTTACAAAAGAAGACATACATGAGGCCAACAAACATATGAAAAAATGCTCATTATCACTGGTCATTAGAGAAATGCAAATCAAAACTACACTGAGATACCATCTCACGCCAGTTAGAATGGCCATCATTAAAAAAATCTGGAGACAACAGATGCTGGAGAGGATGTGGAGAAATGGGAACACTTTTACACTGTTGGTGGGAGTGTAAATTAGTCCAACCATTGTGGAAGACTGTATGACGATTCCTCAAGGACCTAGAAATAGAAATTCCATTTCACCCAGCAATCCCATTACTGGGTATATATCCAAAGGATTATAAATCATTCTACTTTAAGGACACGTGCACACGAATGTTCATTGCAGCACTGTTTACAATAGCAAAGACCTGGAACCAACCCAAATGCCCACTGATAATAGACTGGACAGGGAAAATGTGGCACATATACACCATGGAATATTATGCAGCCATAAAAAACGATGAGTTCGCATCCTTTGTAGCGGCATGGATGAACTTGGAAACCATCATTCTCAGCAAACTGACACAAGAGCAGAAAATCAAACGCCGCATGTTCTCACTCATAGGTGGGTGGTTAACAATGAGAACATATGGACAGAGGGATGCAATGAGAGCACTACACACTGGGGTTTGTTGGGGGGAAATAGGGGAGGGACAGTGTGGGGTGGGGAGTTGGGGAGAAATGCCAGATATAGGTGATGGGGAGGAAATCACACTGCAGCAAATCACACTGCCATGAGTGTACCTATGCAACAATGTTGCATGTTCTTCACATATACCCCAAAACCTAAAATGCAATAAAAAAAAAAGACACGTATTTGAGAAAGGAAGGAAAAACAAGCACCAGAGAAGGAATTCGATTATGGGAGTTTCTTTAATACAAAAAGAATGCTGAGGGAACAGCATTAGCAAAGAGGGTACAGTTGAAGATAGAAGAGGAAGACTGATGAAGTTACTAGGGTTGGGGGGAATCACCTGAAGCCCTTGTGGAGAGAATAGTCTTCCCCTGTTCTGAGGTGGAACAAAGTAGGAGGTGAGGTGTAGGAAGTGGGGAAGTTGTAGATCAGGGGACAGAGAATCTATTTAACGCTGATTATGCACTTGCTCTGCTAGAATGCCCCAGGTGGACCAAAGAGATGGGTATGATTCTGTCCTTGTATTCTCCCTTCTCAAAGATTCACTTTAATGAAATGAATAAATGAATACTCAATCGTATGCTCCTTTAAATTGTAGACCAACATGTCCTGTAGTGGTCTACAGAGGGCAGGATGCTGAAAATGGCTACCTCCTTAGAAAATTGCTGAGACAATTGTCTAAGCAATTCTAAGACAATGACCTTGCTTAGAATTGGTAGTGCATGATGGTAATAAAAATTTGTCTGACTTTTAATTGGTTTTATTATGACCCTTCGTTCCACTAGAGGCAACATGGCCTCCTATTGCCTGAAGACCTTTGTTGCCACCAACGCTTAGCTCATCACTGATGCCCAGGTCTCTGTTTCAAAGTTCCTCTTTGAAGCAAACGTAAATGCACAACAATAATTTGGATAACAAGAGTAAAAGAACCAGAAAGAAGCTAAAAAATCAAGTTAAACCTCTTCATCTTTTAGAAGAAAATGAGGCCCAGATGAGTGAATGACTCAGGTGAGGCCATCTAATCCAGGAATAGCAGGGCTGGGTTTGGAATCCATTTCTCTTGACTCCAAGTTAGCCTCAGGGAGAAAGTTCCATCTTGTCTACCTTTCCACACCGAATCTCAAAAAGCAGTTTAGTGATATCTATGCAAGTGAATGTCACATGGAAACCCACATTATCCATCAAGAAACCAACAAGTATTTTAGGGGAGGAAGTGGAAAGGATGACTTGATCAATCTCTGTTTTCTTCCTGCTGTTGAGTCAAAGTGTTCGGTTTTTAAGGATCTTCAGAGATAAACAAATACCTTTATCTTTACGTCATTCATTGTTCCTTGGCAATTCTTTCAAATAATTATGAAGGATCAATTTTGTATTCTGCAGTTCTTAAAACCCCACGCTATATTTTTTAAAGGGTGTGTTTGCATGTGTAAACCATAAGTATTTGCATAGGGCAATGTGATGTATCATGAGAAATATATTCAAAATTTATATACGTGACTTAAAAACCTAAGGCAACAAAAAATACAGGGATATAAAATGGAGACATAGAAAAATAAGAGGAGAATGAACCTTGGATATTACCTTAAGAACTTACTCTCCCACTACCCTGGTGTTCAAAGTAGGATATACTACAAATCCTATTTTAAATATAAAATTAAAGCTTCTTATTTTAAGAAATACTACACGAAAGCTTTACTTAACACTTTTGAGAAGCAAAGAATTAATTCTTTGTTTATGTATTTTGCATATTCTAGTTTTCTTACACTGGATTTTAATGGAAATGTATCAGTATAAAGTGAATCACATGTATAATATATCAAAAAAAAATAAAGCAACAAAAATAATAACATTGTTTTTTTTTTTTTCCAGACAGAGTTTCACTCTGCTGCTCAGGCTGGAGTGTAGTGGCACCATCTTGGCTCACTGCAACCTCTGCCTCCATGTTCAAGCAGTTCTCACAGCCCAGCCTCCCAGGTACCTGGGATTATAGGGGTGCACCACCTTACCCGGCTAATTTTTGTAGAGATGGGGTTTTGCCATATTGGCCAGGCTGGTCTTCAACTCTTGGTCTCAAGTAATCCACCTGCCTCAGCCTCCCAAAGTGCTTGGATTATAGGCGTGAGCCACTGTGCCTGTCCAGTGTCATGGATCTTGATAATGAATGTTTGTTGTGGTAAAAAAAAAATAGAGCTAAAATTAAAAAAGAATTAATCCATGGCAGACATAGACTCCTTCTGTCTGACTCCAGACAATGTGGGCTTTTGTAGGAAACACCCTGAGTTCATTCCCAGTCCCTCTACCTACCAGAGTTTCATGACAATTAAACAAGACAGCATCTTGTGGGGTCAATGAACCTCAATAAGCTAGAAACTGTCTTGTAGCTGAAGATGAATTTTGCTTGGATCTACACCATTTTGGATCTAGACATGCTTAACAGAATCAGATTTACCTAACAGATTTTATCTAACACAGTTGGATTCTTTTGGGAGATAAGAAACACTATTTCATCTAAGTGTCCAGTTAGTGGCGAACGATTCTACCCAATTATGTCAATCATTGCTAGTTCTTTCTTTTTTAGTTGATGAATACTCTTTTTATAAAAAGCCACATGTAGGGGATACAGAACAAGCTCTTACCTCTCCTGAAGTCCTATGGGCTTCATTTTGAAAGGAGAAGGGCAGACAGAGGTAGCGGTGGTAGCTTTGATCTCAGGAGCACCTTGGCCTTGAGGGTCCACGACTACATTCAGTACCTTTGGGGCCTGCTCAGGTTGGACCATGCTGTGGGCTGTCTTTGCCTCAGACAGTGCTGGCTGTAATGTGATGGGCGATAGGTGGATCTCCTGGTTTTTCTCTTTATCTTGTCTTAAAGAAAGCTGAAACCTTTCTTTTAATCTGTAAAGAATCTATAGAAAGAGATAAAAAACTCCTGTCACATTTTCTCACACTAAACAACAGAGTATGATCTCCTCCACCCTAACCTAGCAGACAAACCAAAATAAAGGCTTAACGGTAAAGTAAATAAAGCCCTCTAAAAGATGATTTCTGTTTTGTGGTATTGAGATTTTTCTAAAGATGGTATACTTGGTATTTCTAGTTATGCTGCACATGTGTATCAAATAATTGTGCACGTGAATCTGTTCCTCAAATATATATTCAAAAGTAAATTTAACCAGTTTTATAAAAAATGCCAGATGTCAGTTTGGTCATATGGGAATTCTTTCCTAAAATGCCTGAAATGGTAGGCTTATAGAAGGAATAACTGTGAAAGAGAGATCTATGACATTTACAGAAACAGAGATACGTATCCAATATGGCATAGAAGAAAAGAGTAGTCTTGCAAATATTAATAATAGTTATGCTATAAATCACAGTTTCTTATGTTGGTAAATCTCTGCATTAGTCAGATGTCAACTTGAATATTTGGTAAATTCATGACAAATTAAATTTAGGATATCTATGAAATAATAATTTGGACAACCAGAATTTTCCTTTTTACCACTTTGCCCTAAGCTTTAGTATTTTATTTAGATATAGGATCTGGCTGTGTTGCCCAGGTGAAAGTACAGTGCTGTGATCATAGCTCACTGCAACCTTGAGCTCTCCTTAAGGGAAAAGACTATGCACCTACAAGATAGAACTAGAAATGCATATTAAACATTGAACTCCTAGGAAAACAAAGACTTTCTTTGTTTTTATGTCAGTTCACCTCCTTGTAATCTGGAAACTTTTATACTGGTGGTATTCATTGACTCTGGTAGGGTAAACTTAGATCTTTAAGTTTGAAAAAAGGGTGGATTTGGAATATTCACATGACAAATGTTAATCACACAAATGAGAAAGAAAATGTGTCTAATATTAAGTGAAAGGTCTTCTTACCTTTATTATAATTACTTTCAAACAAGTGTATTGTGTTTTCTTTAAGTTATAGGATGGAAAGGACTGAAGAGGGATGCCTTTATCATGTGCATAGTGTCTAAGGTTTTTAACTTACTGCTTCTCTTCAGTTTCCATGACCTTCACAGTGTAAAAAATGCACTAGAACAGTATTTATCAGATGATACATATATTTTAGGCTTATTGTGTTCAGCTAAGCATTTAACTACTAAACAGTGAGGTGTCAAAATTTAAAATAGATTGTTTTAGTTGCAAGGAAGTTATTTTCCCAAATGAAGAAACAAATATATCTGTACCTTTACAAAAATACATTTAGGAGATAATGCATGTATTACATATTTTAAGCTATTCACATCTAAATATAAATGCATATCAGAACACTTGCTTGCCTGTGGATTTTGGAGAAACATGAATGAACAGTGAGTATGAGAAAGCCAAGGAAATCCTGACCTTCTTAATTGTTCTCGACAGGCAGCTTTTATGATTTATATTAGTGTAAAACAAAGTCTAGTCCAAAGTCCTTCCTTACCATTCACATGCTTGTGTTTTTGATGAGAAACCTTTGTAACATATTTTACAATCAGTCATCTGTTTATTTCATGTCTGGTTAGGGGTCAACTTTGCAGCCTGTCTCCATGTAGTACGTGTACAAGCTGATCTCTACATCTTTAATTAGGGAAAAGCAGAACCTGGAAAATGTATGATGTATATAATACACTTTAAAAATACTCAAGAGATGGCGCTGTCTAAAAAAATATGGAAAAAATGTAAGAGACTGCTACTTGGCAATAGGGTAGTTGTCATGGAATTAAGCTATAATGCAGTGATTCTCAATTGGCAGGGATTTTGCCCTCAGGAGATGTTTGGTAGTGTCTGGGGATATTTTTGGTGGTCATATTTTCAGGGTTTGGGGGAAGGAGAAGGAAAAGGGTGCTATTGGCATCTGGTGGGCAGAGGCTAACTACCTTGCAATGCATTGAAAAGGCTTCCCCCACACCCCCACCAATAGAAATAGTAACTCCAAAATATCAGGAGTGTTGCTGGTAAAACCCTGGTGTAAGGGATCATAAAAATTTTGTGGTGTAATCTCCTCATTCCACATTTAAGTACTGAGATGTTGGATGATTTATGGAGGGTTGGAAAAAAACCCCAGAATCCCAGTTTTCTGACTTCCAGGTATGTGATCATTCAACTCTACTGTTTCTGCCAAATTCTCCTGTCCTTCTTTGAAACCTCTTTTCCAAAGCATCTGGAAAACAGTGTCAGAGATTTTTCTCTGCACAGATTGAGATCTGGAATATAGCATATGCGTATTTCTCTATGGGAATTCACTTTGTTTAAAAACTCAACCTAAAAGCTTACTGTAGCAATGGCAAGTCAACATTTTGCCTTCATCTCTAAGAGCTTGTTTGACTCTTGGACTGGAATAAAGTCATTTAATAATTTGAAAAAGGAAAAGAGAACATATTATTGAATGAGAGGAGATGTAAAAGTCAAACTATAGCAAGAGAAAGAAAATAATAGTGGCAACAAAAGAACCAGAGGAACACAGAAATGGGAGGAAGCTAAAAAAATTCTCTGAAGCTTTTTTGCCGCTTAAAATTTTCATTCAAAAATCTCATAAGTAATACAAAACATCCTGTTTGGATTAGAATGTGTTCGGATTTCAAAATGATGCCACCAACCACTAGTCTTTAACATTTGCTATTTATGGCATTTTACAGTTAGTTCTGAAAGAGTTCATTCATTCTTTTCTTTCAATTTAATAGTCCTGAGTCAATCCCTACTACATTCCATAAACAAGATATTGTAGATGCAAAAGTAACGCAGAACTCTGTCCTCTAGGAATTCATAGGCTTTCAGAAAAGATAACTGTGTAAAAATTGTGTTCAGTACAAAGTACTAAGTGCAGAAAGAGAGGTGTGCCCACAGCACACAGGTATGGTGTGGCACACATTTACCAGTTTCGTCTGGGTAGAATGGTTCCGATAAATACAGCCATTCTCATCTGCTACTACTGGAGTGATTTGTGGTCAGAAGTGTATGTTCATAAGACAGATGGTAAGACCAAAAAACTCCCACAGTTTGACTCCTTATGAAATCAAATAGAATTATGTGGGCCCCAATTTTCAATTTAAATAGACTTGGGTTTGAATTTTTACCACTTCCTACTCCCTGACCCCATATCCATTTATTGCATGTTCTTGTTCAAGTCATTCACTCTTTCTGATTCTTAGTTTTCTCACAAGTAAAATTAGTAAACTAAAATATGTTAAGCATTTAGTACTAGGCAGGAAATTTAGTACCAATAACTGCAATAAATGGAAGAAACTAATTGTTATTGTTATTACTATTAAGACAGTTGTATTCTTCTTAATACAGAAAAAAATTTGAAAATTAGTTTGAGATATATGCCTACTTAATCAATCATTCCAGCTAGGAATCTAGTCCTATTTTCCTTCGTCCTTAGGGATTATGTGTAACAAATAAGAAAATTATGTCCACTTTTGAAATGTGTTTATTGCATCATGTTAAGGCTATAGCAGGTGGTTCAATGTAAGATTTTTTGCTACAGCTACCAGACTACAACTAGAGAAACTCTTTCTCTCCCATATGTATGACTCTCCTATGGATCTAACATGCCAGTGCTTTTATTGACCCAAACAACTATTTTCATGTGATTTCTAAATCTACTTTCAAGAAGCAATCTGGCCTATAGACATCTCTACCTACATTTCATAAATGTCTTTGTACTTGTTAATAAACCTGTAAGGACATTTGAATGTCTAATTTACATGATAAATGATGTTCTATTATTTCTTCAAGTTTAAGAACTAATTCTTCTTAGTAATAACTTTCTTTCATCTAAAACAGACTGAATAGACTGGAAGTTGCCCACACATTTTTTTCTGGGAAAACTGCATTTTTCTATTTGTCGCTCCACGCACTCTACATTCACATTTGTGAGGTGCTAAATAAGTCACATATTTGAAAATGTCATGGCCGTCTAATTTTATGCCTGGCAACATATATATATATATATATATATATATATATATATATATATATATATATTTTAAGGAAAGTAAACAATATGCCACTTCTCAAAAATTTTTGCCAAGTCTTATGTTGTTGTTACATACCACATACAACCTTCCATTACAGCAATTTACCTATATAATTGCATAATAAAATCACACGCTTTTCATTTCTGGCATGTAGGAAGCCTAATGCAAATGGAAGCACTGATCTTTCATAAATATAATCAATGCCAGAGGGAAAATTCTGAGTTTTATCTTTCCTTTGTCATGGAATCAACCAAACTATGGGAAAGAGAACTGGAATACATATGTTTCAGAATGACAAAACTGATAGTACAAGTATTGCTGAGAAATGCACGTGAAAAACTTACTTTAAATCAAGCTTATGATCACAATAATTTGAATACTTATAAAGATGAGCTTATTTTAGACAATCACTTTGACATGTCCCTAAACGTGAACTCTTGACTCCTCTTAAGTTACATCAGATCAACTTGGCTTCGTGTTAATCCTATTGGGTAGTATTTCTTTTCTTGTGAATATGAACTTGTGATCTGTGTGCTGCTGGTTCCTCTGTTTCTTTTCAGAATTTGTATTTATTTATCTATTTTTCAGAGACAGAGTATCTGTCATTCAGGCTGGAGTAAAGTGGCGTGATCATAGCTCACTGTAATTTCAAACTCCTGGGCTCCAGCGCTCCTCCCCTCTCAGTCTTCGCAGAAGCTGGGACTATAGGCATGTCCCATCAGCCTGGCTAATTTTTAAAACTATTTTTTTTTGTTGTAAAGATGGGTCTCACTGTGTTGCCCAGGCTGGTTTTAGACCCCTGGGCTTAAGCAATCCCCCTGTCTCCGACTTCCAAGTGCTTGGATTACAGGTGTGAGCCATTGCACCTGGTCCCCCTGCTACTTTCAAAAGTGACTCCTTCATATTAAAATTTAAGATAGCGTTTGAAATCTATTTAATTATTTCTTTCATTTGTTTAAGAACTATCTGAACATGCTCATCTCCATTTCCAACACGTCCCTCTCCCAGGAAATGAGAACATTTCTACACAGGCAGGGAAGCCAAATTACCTAGGAATCATCTTTAATTTCCCCCCTCTTGCTGAGAATTGGGACACAGCAAGTTCTGTCAGTTCTACTTTCAAATAAATCTCAATCCTTTACTTCTCTCTATCCCCACCACCCACCCCTGCTCTGGGCCAGCAGCATCTTCTTCATCGGGATATTGCAGAAGCCTCCAGAAAGTTCCTCTTCCTTCCACAATTTTCCCCATCCTCTGTCCACCACCACTTTCTACCAGAAGAAGATGTGATCCTTTAAACACACGTAGAAGATCACATCAAGGCTCTGCCTAAAATATTCTTCCCCTCAGGCCTGAATAGGCTAAGCTTATTCCAGTTGCACCCACTGTACCCTCTGCCTGTGGGTTCTTTTCTCACATTTTCATCCTTAGGTCTCAAACATCTCAGGTTGCTGCTCTTCTCCACTCACTATTATGGTCTTTTCTTCATAGCACTTATCACTGTGATTTTAAAAATATACTACTTTTTAGAGCAGTTTTAGGTTTACAGAAAAACTGAGCAGAATATACCAAGTTCTCAAATACCTTTCTTCCCTACCTCTTCATTTTGCCCTATTAGTGTGATTCATTTGTTGCAATTTGTGAATCAATATTGATGTATCATTATTAACTAAAGTCCATAGTGTGGATAGTGTAGATTAGGGCTCACTCTTCATACATTGTACAGGTTTTGACAAATCCATAATGTCATGAATTCATTATCACAGAATATAGAATAGTTTCACTGTCCTAAAATCTCCTGTCCTCTACCTAATTGTTCCCTTTCTCTGCAATCTCTGGCAACCACTGATATTTTTACTATCTCTATAGGCTTGACTTTTCCAGAATGTCGTATAGTTGGAATCACATAGTATTTTCACCATTTGATATTTAAAAAATTAACTTATTTTCTATGTCTCCCTCTAAAGTAAAGACTTCAAGAGAACAGGGATCTTATCTGTCCGGTTTTCTTCTTTGCCCACAACACCAACAACAAATAGGCCCACAGAGAATATTCTGCAGGAATCTGTTGATTGAATGAATAGATGAATCTACCTGCTAACCCAATAGAGAGCAATCACCTGTGCTTCTGAAATGCCCCTTTCCTGATTTGTTCTAATAACTTTGGAGCCAACTTAACCTAAGTTTCTGACTTAAATATTGGGAAAGGAAGAGTCATCCTCTGGCTCCAAGTGGTTGAGGGTGTGACTACTATAGGTCCTTTTGCCATGAGACCAACATAGACATTTATCTAGTTACGCTGGATACATGAGCACACCCTGACTTAGAAATGTAGAATCTGAAACACATCCTCTATGTTAGTAGCAAGCTCTGCTTAGTACTCAAAGGCCGGGCATGAATCTGCTTTCCCACTTCCCTCCTTTTATCCTTGCCTTTGCTTTTCTGAATCACATCCATTGATCCCCTGAATATTTTCCACTTTTATCACTTTCAACCACTTTCTATTCTTCCCCTCCTCTTATCGTTTTTCATCTGCAAAGAAGAAAAACATGCTAATTGTGACTGACAAGACAGGGAACAGCACTTGAGATTTCCCGTATGAAGGAAAGAAGAACCATGTATATTAAAGTACAATTAACTATAACAAGGAACTACATCCTTAAAACAGAGATGCCCAGAATACTCTGTCACAATTTCTGCAAAACCGCCAACTATCTCATTAAAATTCTTTTCTCTTAATCTCTACCATGTGAAATATAAAAATCAGTTTTTTTTTACTCAATTCTAAATTTTTCTTTTGTTTATTGAGTCATAATTCTTAGAATTTTTTTTTTCTTAGTGCCTGACCCATAGGAGCTACCTCTGAATTAATTATGATGGAAGATTTAGGGTGTTCTTGTTATTTCACATATTTTGAACTCTAGAAAACATGCTCATCTTTACCCTGTTTAAGACCATGCTTGTTTTATATCCTCTAAGCTTAGACCCCTGCAGCCTCTGTCTTTCCAGATGGAGCCCTAATCTGACAGTAACCCCTTCCCAGCACAGGGAGCAGAAATAAACAACATCCAATAAAACACGTAGCAACATTTGTTGATTGTGGAGAGAAATAAGGAGCGTAATGACTTTTGGGGAGCACTTAAAAACCAAGGAAGAAGTATTTTTTTAATGTACAAAATTAAAAAGAATATAGCTCACAGGGAAAAAAAGGACATTAAAACCTATTTGTAAACTCTAAATATTATACATCTGGAAATTTTCAAGGGAGTAGAAAAATCTTATTCTACTCTAAACATACTGTTAATTCATTCAATACCAAATAGTACTGCTTAATTTAGTGGGTTAGGTTTATTTTGGGTTCTATTTTTAAAATTAGAAATATGCTTTTAAAGCCTACATATTATTACTTACAGAGCTATTCCAGAATATGAATTTATACTTTTGTATTATTTATCCACCTTAAAAATGAATTAGTAGTCTAACTAATTTAGCCTTTGAGGGTATAATCATCTTCTTTTCATAGAATGCTTTCAAGGCCTTTTAAAAATAAGGAAATCAACCATTCCTTAGGGAGTAAGCTTGTCCCAAAGACATATTTCTTTTTAATTTTTTTTTCATGAGTTCCATAAAGATGATATAAAAGGAGAAATAAAGTAAACCCAAAGTGTACCCGTGAGACTTTACTGATGTTGAGGGCTTCAGTGACCTCAGTAAATCACTTTCTAAAGCTTCATTCTCAGAGTTGATCAAGTTACTAAAAATTGCACTGCAATTACAGCCTTATTATTCAGGTCAGCATCCTTAATTCCATAAGCTCTCCTTTAGAAATCGCTCTGATGTCAGATATGAAATATTCCTAATCTAACAGGATCATAGTCTTGCTTCTGCTCCCAAGCATTTTGCATTCATTTGAATGGCAACGTACCCACTAATATCAAGCAGTGGGCTCAGCGAAGGATAAAATAGACAAAGAAGCAAACTTACCATCAAACACGTTACTATAATAACAAAGATGCTGAGAAAAATGACAACAGCATAAAATCCTTCTTTGCTCCAGATTTTGTCCGCTTCATGCTGCCCTTGTAAAACATTTTTCTTTAAAAGCAAAACAGAAAGTCCGATGTTAAATGAGAGCTTGAGAAAACTGGCGTTCTTATCAGATACTAAACATATTTTTAGCCTTATTCCATTCAGCATAGTGCAACACACCTACACCCCCCGCTGCCAGAGCTTCTTCTCAAACTGATCTAAGACAACAGACTGCCATCCTTACATATCAAAAAAATTAGTCTCCTGGAATAGGAGTAAGCGTGCCTGACATGGCATCCGCAGGTCCCAAGCTTTCTAAATATCCCTGAGTGTCTCTCTTGGAAACTACCTGGTTCATAGGTAAGAGAGTTCTGTTCTTTTCTGTGTGGAGGAAATTGTTTCTGAATATTTCCTTACTCTAAGTCCCCTCCCACAACATCAACACCCTGGATTATGTGCTGTAATACTGTTCTTTACTTTTAAACAAAAGTGAAACAGGTGCAAACAAAAGCTTGTGGTGCATTAATAAGTACAGCAACAATGCCAGGATTATTTCCTTCTTTTCTTGCTTTTAATCACATTTTTTTTTAAGTGGAGTCTATATTGTCAAAATCTGGCTAACATATCATCTCAACAACATATATTTTTAGAACACCACATATTTTTCTAAAGTAATAGGGAACATCAAAATGTTCAGAATTATTTGGCAATAAAAGGTAAAATTCATAGATTATTTTTATTTGTATCATTTTCGTTCCACTTTGGGGGTGGAAGAATGGAGAAGCAGCACGAATAAAGTGTGCATGACTGTATTAGCTTTATTTCATTAATTCTTTTTTCTAAATAAGCACATTGACTAAAATTTATTCTTGAATAAAATTAAGTTTTATAATTTAACGGCAGTATAGATTTATAGTTAATGAAACTAACTTGAAATTAAATGGTACATGATTAGGAAAAACATGTAAAGGCTAAATCAAGTCAAATGCTTTAACTCAACTAAAATTTCATTTTTGTTGAAGGTTGCCTCCCTTTAGTGAGGATACATATCTGTCATTAGAGATTGTCTCCAGTGATTAAGAAGACCTTGAATAAAACATATATTGTTGGTGTCTGAACTTTGAAATCATTGCTAATTTACTTTTAAGCCTTTAAAAATAAAACATATCCAACATTTATAAATCAGACAAAAAATTTTACCTTGAAAAATATTTTATGAGAACTTTTATTTTGGAATGCAAGTGAGTTCTAGTGGGAAGATAAGCAAGGCTGAACAGAAAAGATTTTTGAGTTCAATTGTGATTGCAAAGATTACTTGGAGAAAGCCTTTAATAATTGCTAAAGTAATCAGGATTCTATTTCCTTTATTTGTAAAACATTGATGTGCTCGTTAATTATAATATAATAGTATCTTGCCTACTTTCTGGGACATAGATGCATAGATATAAGAAATGATTTAGATATGAATTTTAAAGATATATAAATGACAAATCAATGCAGAAGCTGCAAATATTTGATTGATAAAATGATTAGAAACCAAGTATCCTGCCACAAAGAAAACTTTGGGTTCAAGTGACAAATTTTCTTTCACCTCTTTGATGTCAGCCATATCGTTTTTTATTCCAGTGTCTCTATAAGCATAGCTGGAAACTAATAGAAAACTCTTGCAGAAATCAGGTATAAATATGGAAATGAATTTTTTTACAGGCAACAAAATAGCATCCATTGTTTGCTATAAAAGCAAACTAGTTAAGCCTTCAAGTAGGCAGCATAAATTTGTCAAATTTAAGTGTAAGGAGTTGAGTTTAAGCCCATGTAAAATTTGGATAAAAAGGGGTGGTTAGGTGGGTGGAAAGAGATTTTGTGTTCCTAACCCGATTTGGTTCATTTTTTTCCTTGTTATAGTTCTATAACTCCTAGAATATCAACATGTTCCTTCCTGCTTAAGACAAACCTGTTTTCTTTTTTAACTGAAGCAGTAATGATGAAAACATTAACTCCTACCCTCCCATCCCCCACCCTCAGTTAAAAAGACACGTGTTTTGAACTCCTAGAACTTAGTCACTGCATTTTCTTGATAAATAGATTTCTTTCTGAGTCATGCTACTCCTGCTGAACACTACTATATTTGTACAGAGATCTAAAAAACCTGATAAGGGCAGGGCAATAAATGGAAAAGTTTATAGTTAAGAGCTCACAAATCAAAGGACTATAATTCACAAGAATTTTCAATCTAACCTTTGCATAGGGTTAACCCCATGGTTTTTATAGTTTGTCATGGGGCTGAGGGTTGAATAATTCAGAGGCTCTATTGTCGGGTCAAGCTAATGCCACTACATCATCTTTATGTTTTATTTCATAGCCACACTGCTTTGCCCTTTAACTTAGTTGCAGTAAAAGAAGCTGATGGGTTTTGTTTTATTATTTAAAATCTGGGCAGTTTTTTGTATAGGTAACAATGTCTTCTCTATACCCTGTTTAATAATTTGATGCAGTATAGCTCGTTCTTTTTTCTTTCTTTTGTCCTTCATCTCTCTTTAAATATTTTAATCAATTCTGATCTCAGATGCAGGAGATCCCAATTGCTAGGAGAGGTGATTCAGAGATACATAGGATCTAGGACATACACCTCTTTAAAAGAGATGAAGCACACAGAATAAGAATGAAGTGCAAATGTTACAAAGTATCTGGTTAATTCGATTGACTTAGGCAGATAAATGAGATGTATCCTATAACAATATGGCTTTGTTTGATAAATGCCAAGCTTCCCTTGTACTGTGCATAATGTGAGCAATTGTTCTGAATGGTGTAATACAGGTTGATGTTGATTGTATGCTCCTCAGCACTGTATGGCTAGGTCTGTACTAGACTACCTGCTAGTGTTCCTAATGTGAAGGAATAATCATTAAGCTTACACATTACTGTTTATATTTATATGCAATGGCTTTTTTTCTTTGTAAATATTTCATGAAGGTATCAGTCAGCACATTGGACTTTTATTTAAAGAAGGTCACTTTCTCCTTTGAAATATAAGATTTGGAAACTGGAGTAATTTGCAATTGAACAACAACAAAATTCCTAAATCATTTTTTAAAATGTCAATACAGAACTTACTGTTTTTAACAGGTATTTATTTTATACAAACATTTAATTTTATTTTCCTGGGATTTTATTTATTAGGCAAGAGGAGGTCTAGTTTTATCTGCATGAGTGCCTATAATGTTCTACATATCATATAAAATATATAGAAGAAATAATGTCTTTTCCTTCAAGAAACAGATTACAAATGAAAACAGATGACTAAACAAAAATAGTTTTCTAGTTGGTATTTTTTTTGTTTGTTTCTCAAGAGTCATTTTCAATTAAAAAAATCAAGCATATGAAAAAAAATCTTTCCATGAAAGTGATTAACATAAGTTTAGGAAGAGATGCTTTGAGGCATCATTCACAGTGTTCTATAATTCATGCAAAGGATGAAAAGCAAAAATACCAAAGTCCTTTTTTTCTGTTAATGAACATGTTGCAATAGCATGTTATAAGATTAAAATGTGAGAAAATGGATTGAGGCATAAGTTGTTATACAACATTAACCACAGAAAAGATGAATAAAGATGTAAGAAAACTCACAGAATAGCATTCACCAGTCTTACTATCAACCAACATTTTTTCAGGGCTCCTTTAGGTTGTATCTATACCAAGCACCTCCCCACTGGGGTGCCTGCTCACTACAGACACCTTTTCTCTGTTTCTGCAATTCAAGACTCTGGTCAAAGGTCAGAGGGTAATGCCTGGTACCTTCTAGGAGTGTCCAAACAAAAGGTTCAAACAATCCGTTTGTCCTTCATGATATGCTCCTTATACCTAATTCAAATATTTCCTCAACTTCTGTAATGTGTATTTTCTAAATTCTAGATTTCTAGGTTCCAACAATTTTATGAGAAACTGTCACATTTTGATCATCAAATACACTTTCATTATTCAAGTGTAGTCTATTGTGAGCTACTAGCTCTGTGAGAGGCCATTAAACTAAGTACCTCACCTTCACCGGACTGGGGTATATTGGAGGATTCCCAACCAAGTGCTTCCGTTAAGCCAACTCTTTTTGTATGGGCAGCTTTTCTTGGTTTGCAAATTTGAGTGACTCAATATGGTGCTGTATTCTTAAAGCGCTCAGACTGGCTTTTGAACTCAGGATAAGGCAACAGGGAAGACCATTTATATGATTCTCTAAAAGCTTATGGGAAGCAGAATATATTTATCCAACGGTCTTTCTAAAATTTAAAGAATTGTTCTAGGCAAGATATGTACCAGTCAGTCTGTGAAGGGCTTGAAAGGGATGGGAACACAAGGTAAAGAACACCTTCATCTGTGGAGGCACAAGGGATACTTTGCTACACAGTAGACTGGTATTGAGAAATGAAAGGTGTGTAGACAAATCAATATACACAAAAGCATGGAGGAAGGAGAGAATATGTGTATCACGACATCTATCAAGTTTAGAATTGCTGAAATGTAAACTAGGAAAGTGTCGTTTGACAATTACAAAGTCCAGCATACAAAGGACCATATACCATATTAAGAAATCTAGACTTTATTTCATAGTATTTTGAAAGTCAAAGAAGAATCATGAAATTAGGAGGGCATGGCCAGATTTACGCTGAGAAAGATTACTTTGCTGGCGGGACAGAAAACACATTGGGTGTGCTGGGAAAGAGAACAGAGAGAGGCACAAAACCAAATGCAGGAAGTCTAGTTGTGGGTGGTTGTGACAGTCGTGGTTCAATGATGACATATATTCTCATGTGCCAATTCATTCCGCATTCAAATTACATTTGTGTACTACCTACTGTGTGAGAATTTCTACATATATTTAAAAAATTCAATCCATAGTTCAAGTTTATAAGTGCTATAACAATTTTGGATTTGAAGAAACGGAGGCTCAGGGAGGTCGACACTATGCAAAGAGACACGACCTCACAGAGATTAAATGGCCTGCCCACAATCACACACAGTTTAAATGTGGCTTTGGGAAACAAACTCAATCTGGGCTCAAGTGATCCTGCTGCCTCAGCCTCCCCCGCAGTTAGGATTACTAGGGAGGGAAGCCACCATGCCCACCTAGAGTTTTTTATACGACACTTGTGATACTTACTAAAATAAGAGGCAGTGTGCTTTACCGTAAAGGCGAATAGACTAGGCATCAGGAGATCTAGATTTTGGCCAGGCAAGATGGCTCACTCACACCTGTAATCCCAGCATTCTGGGAGACCAAGGTGGGAGAATCGCTTAAGGCCAGGCATTCAAGACCAGCCTGGGCAACATAGCTCAACCCTGCCTCTATAAAAGAAAAAAAACAAAAGAAAAGATATCAAGATTTTAGGTGGTGCTTTGTGCCTCTCTTGTTGTCACCTTGAGACAGTCACTTAATTTTTATGGGCCATACTTTCTGTATCTACAAGGTGTTACACATGTTCCCTCCAGTCTAATTTCATGATTGCATGAATTGAATTACATGTATTTAGGATGACGATGCTTCCAGCATGTTTGTTAGAGCAGGATGGAGTAAAAGAAGTGGAAAGGGAATTAAATCCACTCAGGAGTGAGATGACAGAGGTGGCAGAGAAAATGTTTTAAAAGTGCCAAATTTGGAAAATACTACAAAGAAATATGTGTAGTTCTTAAGATTGTTTCTTCAGCAAAAGAAAAATCACATTTCAAATTAATTCCAAAGTTATGGGAAACAGTGAATATCTGGTGACCATTTTGACAATGAAAACAATGAGAAGGAGTGTACCTGTAGGGAAAGAAAGGTTTAAAGGTATTTTTTTTTTTTTTGACATATCAGTTTCAAGTGATCAATTGACAAATACATCTAAATCTTCTTTCTTCTAGAAAATTTACTAGGTAAGTCAAAATAAGTTATAAGGCCAGAAAGGTTTGAAGAAGAAAAATGCCAAAGAGTGAAACTTCAGTGTGAAAATGCATTTCCGTAAGAAGTAAACATATACAATGTAAAGATCAGACAATTCTGACACTCAGGGAAATTTTTATTATCAAGTACATACAATAAACAGCTTTCATCTCAAAGCCTCTTGGGATTGAATTACCATAGCACGCTAACTGTTCACATTTTAAAATGAAACGTTTTGTGCAACAACATACCTCAGGAGAGACGTCTGTAATTCCAAATTGGGATAAACTTTGATGCAAAACATTGATATTAAGTGAACGAAGAACTTCCTCAGAGGGCAGAGCATCAGAAATTCCTGTTTTACGGTTTATGGGAGACACAAACAGTTCAATACTGTTCTTCTTTGCCTAATAAAAGCAGAATATTTGTATGTGTTATAGACATTTTAAACAACTTTGGAGAATATTTTTAACTTTCCTTTAGAAACATTAAAGGAAGTCAGAATTCTAGGATCCTAAAAGGCATTGTGGAGATTATATTTATTAGTTATTCTCTGGTAGACTTAATATTACCAGTCCAAAGTCTAAAATCTTCAAATAGATTTCTTGCAATTAGTTGTCCCCCAAAGATTTGTAATTTTGTATTTCATTGTATGCTGATTAATTTACCATTCTATATTGTAATTTTCTGATGTAGATTGTTCAGATGTTCCCTGAGTAATTATGTTTAAAGAAGCATTTTAAAATCAAATGAATACAATCCAATGTAATAGTAAAATTGCATATTAGACAACACCACTCTCTATTACTTTTATAGATTGTGTTAATGTGAAGGCTTGGCTAGCTAAGGAAGATGGTGCCAGATGAGCTTTGAAATCCTTTCCTGATTCTGTTCTTCACCTCAAATATGTCACACATTTAAAACCAGTCATTTAGTAGAAATCCAGATGTTGTGTGGTGATGTCATAATACTTTTCCTATTAGTATTACTTCATTAGCTAAAATGGAATCAGAGAATTTCTTACCATAAATGTCTGATATTCTACATATGCACACACAAACAGCAGACAAAAATGACATGGCCATTGATAATATTATCTTTTACAACTTATGTAATACACGAACAGAATGAAATTGTTAGCCTTCTTTCCGACACATGGAGCTCTCTCATGCTAGAAAATTCTCTTTTAATGTGCTTTATCAGAATTTTAGCTGGGTATAAAATGAAGTATCAGTTTACTACTAGCAAGCCAGGAAAAGTATTTTCATATTTGCAGAGAAAAACAGACAATAACTAAATACTGATGTGAAACATGTTTATAATAATTTAAATAGTTTGTGACTTAATAACAATGACAGTAGGGACAGAGCACTTGTGTTGTGCCTGACATGCTCCTATGTACCTTAAATCTCTTATCTCATTTATTGCTTAGAACACCCCCAGGCAATAGGTATTATGTTTATCTCTATTTTAAAAATGAAATGTAAGTGGCTTGTCCATATTCACACGGATGGAATATGGCCACACTGGAAATGAAGTATGGTTTTGTTAATCACCACACTCTGCTATCTCAGGTATTATAACTCTAGCTATTACAATAACTACTTTTAAGCATGCTACTAACATTCTCTGAGGATAAGCATATCCCTTCCTCAGTGTGGCAAATCCCTCCTTCATCCCTGCAAACAGCTATAATGCTCATTAATCCTATATGTATAAAAGTATATCTAAGATATCTATATCTAAATAATCTCTCTATATATCTTAGCAAAATACAGATGCACAGGTTTATGCATATATATTTTTATGTGTATATATATGTATAAAAATCTAGATCTAGATCCAAGACTTTTTTTTGAGACAGAGTTTCGCTCTTGTTGACCAGGATGGAGTGCAATGGCATGATCTCTGCTGACTGCAACATCCACCTCTCAGGTTCAAGCAATTCTCCTGCCTAAGCCTCCCAAGTAGATGGGATTACTGGCACCCCCAACCATGCCCAGCTATTTTTTTGTATTTTTAGTAGTAGAGAAGGGGTTTCACCTTGTTGGCAAGGCAGGTCTTGAACTCCTGACCTTAGGTGATCCACCCATCTTGGCATCCCAAAGTTCTGGGATTACAGGCATGAACCACCACACCCAGCTGAGACTTCTTTAATGCCTGAATCTTCTCATTTGAGCAAGGTATGCCCTGGATATAAGTAACCTTCACTATTCAAGAGAATGGTATATTTCTTCTGTGGTACAAGTTAAAACTTTTTAAAAGCTTGTTCAGTTCTACAACATTGTTGATTCACAGACTACAAGTTTTTACGAGGAAATGAAACAACTCACTCTCCACACACAGAAAAAATAAAAAGAAACATAAGACCCAAACCAAAACGAAAAGCAAATTCCCTCCATAGCGAAGGCAGGCTGAGCAGTAGAAAGCTGTACTCCATGCAGAAGAAGCACAGCAATTTAAGGTTGGGAGAATGCAGAGTCCTTGCTTGGACTCCCATTGTAGTGGAAATTGTTCAAGAACAATTTAAAACCTGTACAGTGATCCCAAAGCCCCTTTTCACATAAAACTGAGGTGACTAGCTATTTGCATTTTTTTGCCCTTTGCTCACACCTGCTTTCCAGTGCAGTTGGGAACATGTAGTTGGATAATATCCAGGTTCCCAAACACCGAGGAAAGACAGGAATTAATGAATGTGGGCAACTGACAGATAGGCCTAGCCGGGTCCTATACAATAGATCCTTTGGATTTACTTCATTTTATTTTTTACTTTACCCACTCAGATGCCCATTCAAGTTTTCTCTTGGTTTTCCCGGACTACCAATTCCTGCATTCCACCTGGGCTGCAGTCATCAGGGTCAGTTCTTCCTTATTCTTTGTTTAAAATGCCACCCCCCTCCAACCGCCTTGTGTATTCAATGTCCGTCATTCTATTGATATACTTGAAAGGGCTTTAATAAATAACGTCTGGAAACAGTGCCTCACCTGATTCAGAGGCGTTCACTCTAATGGAGAATGTTTTTGGACTAGTGCCATGTTGGTAAGGCAAATGTTTTGGGCCCTTTCATTTTACCACAGGAGCTAGGCTTGAACTATGACAGAGTTAAGAAACTTCCACTATAAAAAGCCAGATGATAAAACATTTAGGCTTCATGAGTCAATCTATTGCAACTACTGAACTCTGCCACTGTAATATAAAAGTCACCATGGGCAATCCATAGATAATGGATATGGCTTATTTCATAAAATTTTATTTACAAAAACAGATGATGTGCTGGATTTGGCTCATGAGCCATACAACTAAAGCATGAGCACTTTAGTGATTAAAACACACACACACACACACACACACACACACACACACACACACCCCTTGAATTTTGGGAATGTAAAATGTAGGTATCTTACAATGAGGCGATTGATGTGCACTTGTTGAGGTAAGAGTCCTAAAGCTGCAGCCACTCCTTGACGGAAGATCCGAAGCAAGGTTATGTTCAGCTTGTTTATATCCATTTGCAATGTCTGGAAAATAAAGACAAAATAAATCCAAATTATAGTTTTAATAAGTCTTTGGTTCAGGACATTCAGTTCTTGACTGATGACTGACCACCACAATTTCTGTGATGTTTTCACTAATAATACTTTATTACATTTTTGATAGAAATAAAATTATAGGAACATTGCATGTGAAGTTTTAAATAGTATTAGTTAAAAAGATATATTATATACACCATGGAACATTATGCAGTGATAAAAAGAAGGAAATTATGTCCTTTGCAGCAACATGGGTGCCACCAGAGGCCATTATCCCAAGCAAAGTAATGCAGAAACAGGAAACCAAATAGTGCATGTTCTTACCTATAAGTGGGAGCTGAACACTGAGTACCCATGGACTTAAACATGAGAGCCATGGACACTGGGGACTGCTGGAGGAGGGAGGAAGGGAAGGGGGTGAGGAACTGCCTATTGGGTGCTCTGCTCACTTCCTGGGTCACAGGATTATCTGTACCCTCAACTTCAGTGTTCTGACACAGGGTTCCCATGTGGCAAACCTGCACATATACACCCTGAATCTAAAATAAAAGTTGATTTTTTTTAAAAAGATGATGTATTATATAATAAGGCAATTTGTCCAGTTATAATAAAAAGCACAAATGGTCAATTCATAAAGAATTTCATTGAAATCTGCCTTGAATAATTTTGCTTTAGTTCAGTTCCAGATGACAGAATGGAATCTGTAGCCAAGTGTATTTCAGTTATTCAATCTCCAATTTGTGCTCACACAAGACACAGAGAAAAAGATGCTGTGTAAGTTCCATAAGGCCTGTCTTGGCAGTTTCTATACATAGTGATTTGCTGCTAGTGCAAGGCAAAAGAATGAGGTGCAAGAATACATTTTCAAACTCTGGTAAAAATACCAGTGATACTGATGATTTGGTCTAAGATAAACAATTCTTATTCAGTTGTTTGGGCAAACACTTAACTTTCAGGTTTGCTTTGGAAAAAATTTAAATATTAAAAAATTCTTAAAATACAAATTATGATAATGACAATATTATAACAGTAACTTTTGTTGAAGCCTCAACATGATTACTATACTGAAATAATGAAGTAATTTACTATATGCGTTTTCAAAAATGCCTCAATCATTTGAGAGATTCTCAAGGTAGGGAAAATAAATCTTTATGCACTTCTTTTATTCTTATAATACTTAATTCATAAATTTGACATAGTAGGCTATCAATAACTGTTGAATGGCTGCAATATCACATGTTCTGTAAAGCTAAGCATACTTTTGAGTACAGACTTCTCTGATCACAAGACTGATTTACATGTGCAATCTCCTATAGAGTAGGAACCCTTTAGGCGAACTGTCCTCAGTTTGCTTTAAAAAGAGAATAATACTGCTTCAAGGATTTATAGTCTTACAAGGAAGTACTGTAATACACCCTCTATTTTCTACCTGTAAGTAGGTGCTAAATAAGTGACTGGAAAGTGGATTAAATGCTCAATGCTACAGGAATCAGAGAGAATTTGGGAGGTCAAAAGAGGTGTAAGTGTTCCCAGTCAAGATAATGGGTCCAGCTAAAGCTCCAGGCTGCACTTCCACCTTAGGGTCTCTTAATGCTTGCATGGAGGCATGGGCCCTAAGATTTGGTTAAGTTAGGGACCAGGAACTGGACTCCTCGTGAAAAATTAAGATCCAGGAAAGGGCAGAATCATTGCAAAACCCTACCTAAGAGCCGAATAATAGGCAACAACTTGCTTCTAGGGAGGAGAAATAAGAATTATGTTGGAGTATATAGAAAGCTATATCAAACACAATCAGCATCACTTTTAAATTTTAAAAATTTAATTTTTTTAAAACTTAAAACAACAGAAATTTCTTGTCTCACGGTACTAGAGGCTAGAAGTCTGAATCAAAGTGTCAGCAGGATCACGCTCCCTCTTAAATTTGTAGGGGAGAATCCTTCCTTCCTTCTTCTAGCTCCTGGTGTTTGCCAGCAATCCTTGGGATTCCTTGGCTTACAGATACATCACTCTAATCTTTGCATCTGTCATCACTTGGCTGTCTTCTCCCTGTGTCTTCACATAGTCTTCCCTCTGAGTGTCTACGTCGAAATTTTCTCTTTTTATAAGGGAATCCATTATATTGGATCAGAAGCCCATCCTATTCCAGTAAGACCTCTTCTTAACTAATTATACTTACAACAAGCTTACTCCAAATCAGGTCACATTCATAGGTACTGGGAGGCTAGAACTTCAATATATGAATTCTGGGCTGGTGATGAGGTGAAATGCAATTCCATCTTTAACAAGGAGAAAGTCAGAATTCTGAGGAAAGAAGCTGCTAACTTGCAGACAGAGACTTGACCAAGAACCTTAATAATGTTGCAACACCTTCTTCTGTTTTCTGTTAGGCTCTGAGTCAATACAAGTAGGAAGTTTAACTGGTTCCCTGGGTGTTCATTCCTGGCTGGAGAGCTGTTTGGGAGGCTGGGAAGGTCCATCAGAAGCATAATTCTATTCCAGAGGTGGCTTGGCAGGCAGAGCTTATCATGGGTAAAGGCAGTGGCAAAGTCTTGGTGAGGCAAAAAAAGAGGTAGCTGAATCCAGACACAAGTTGAAATCGACCTTTCTGTTCCTCGTTCATTTCTTAGCATGTCACAGAAAGCAATTCCTACTAGACCTGGGTAAAATGACTTCTCTCGCAACAGAACGTTACCTTCTTCCAGAGAGTAATACTTTTTATTAAATAAAAGTCATCTAATGGTACACAAGTGTTTGCTAAATCATTTTCTATACTTTTAATAGCCTAAATATGTATTTAATACATAACAGAATAATTTAATGCAGAAAGTAAGTCTTGAGGCCAACCTTAAAGGACAAGTAGGATTTGGAAATACAGTGATGAGCAAAATAGCATTGTATTGTTAAACACAATATATGCATCTGCCTGGCACACCTGGGAGATTAGAAAAACTCAGTCTACCTGGTGGTCCTGAGAAACAGAGGCGTCCTTTCATCCAGTGGCCTGTGTTCATCTCTACCAGACTGCAGAAGCTGCCATTACAGATGAGACACTGTATTGGAGACTCTGTCTACGACCCTTCCCTTGCAAGACCAAAGATGGATTCCTTAGTTTTCTCCAATGGTGATGACCAACCACTGACTTCTGTCTCACCAGCAGTGTTTGTCAGGCAGGGTGAGCTGGCTGACAGTGTGCCTGAATTCCCAGGGGCAGGATTTGGAGCCAATTGTCTATGCTGGGAACCCACAAGCCCACTCAAGAGGGTTGTGTACACACTGGAGAGCTCAATTCCCAGCACCATGATTAACCTGAGGCTTGTAACTATAGAAACAGTATTAAAGTATCAGATTGAAATGGTAAATGGGAAGTGAAACAGAAACTAAAGATTTAAAAATCACTGAAAAAAACAGAATTTTGCAAAAATATAAAAGCTGTACATTTGAAACAGAAATTTAGACTACCCAGCTATAGTGAAGAAGTGAATTGAAATAATGAGTTGAAATTGAAATCATCTGGTTCATTGCATCAAACATTTGAATGATTTTCCTCAGTTCTCTGCTTGCCTGCGAAAAGCTGGATTGATTTTTGCAGAGCATGTACAGATTTCTGACTATTCCCCATAAAAATAGTGATGCTAAAATATAGTATAAACAGGTACGTATATATTTGAGGGCCTCATATGTGCCAGGCACTACATATGAGTGCAATTTGAGAAAAAGAAAGGATTCTAGACAAAAATGAGAATTTTATTTCAGACAAAATAAAAAATAGATGACTTTCTATAGTTAGAAGATATATGCTACCTCCTTCTCTCTGGGTAGATGCTAGAATGCACAGCCCCTCCTCATCCCATTATGTGAAATCGTGACAACTAAGACAGAATAGACATTTTCACAGCAGTAACAAGGCAACAGTTTTCAGGTTGCCATACAATATTGTGAGATATATTTTTGTTTGGATTCTAAATCCATTTGGTCATTTCTAGCATTAAATGTACAAATGATTTAAGATTTTAATTTCAAAAAAATTAAAATGTTCTTTCCAAATGCAAATGGTAAGCTACTTTACAGTAGTAAATAATTTCAAATAGTTACTATGTAAGAACAATTGAGTAATTTTATTGTTGTTACAAAGATATACACATGCAGAAAAAAATATATGCAAAATTCAAAGACTTCCAATTCTACCTATATTTGAATATATCGGGCCTCTGTCTTGTTAGATTCCTTTGTCAGTACCCTACTACTGTTCCCCCTCACAAAGGAAATACTACTTTGTGACAAGACTTACTTTCTCTGGTCCCTAGACTGTCCACCAAAGGAGTTAAAGCCTATGGGCCTTAGGTACAAATCGGGGTGATAGGATTCATGAAATGTAACACTTGGATTTAGGTACCAGCATGACGTTTGAATTATAAGTAAGCGATTGGCTTTTAGCTATTCATTTTTAAAAGAAGGTTGAATTATTTTTCCCTGGAAGGGAGGCAGTTGGTCCCCTCCTAAAGTTATTAGGCAGCCTGGCCTTTCATTTGGTCATACAAAGTAAGATTTAGGACCATACCCAGTGGTTCAGTGAAGGGACAAAGGCCAAATGTCCATCTCTCTTCCTAAGAGATATCTCAAGTGTTCTTAGAGAAGTGCTGTCTCAATTCCCAGTGGCCACAAAGGACCCAGCTTCCTTGAGGACCAAAGCTTATCAGAAGAAATCCACCCACCCCTTTGTAACTCTAATGTGCCCTTTTTTGCTACCTGAAATCTTGAACTCCATTCTTGGCAAAGGAGTTGGAATGGCAAGAAATTTCCAGCAATAAAAGCAAAAGGTTCTCAGTGTATGACTTTGAGCTGAGCAGAGGACCCTGACCTGTCAGAGACATTTTATACTTTCACCCCTTCCCGTCTCACAATTCTGCACTTATCCTCTGCTACTAGTTACAGACTAATTATTTTTATTTCTATATTATACATTTCCACCTCTCGGGGTCTTACACCTG